ACATCTAATTCTTTTTCTTTTTCTTTTTTTTTTTTGGGTAACAGTAATCATAAGGGCTCCTCGCGCTTTTCTGTTATCCCTGCAACATTCTATTATTGTTTTCTTAGCTATCTTTTTGTTGTCAAATAAAATAAAATCGTAAAATCGTAAAATCGGTTATGTGTGCACTCTTTGTTATGATCACTGTTATGTTTATTTTAATAATATTTTATTTATAATAATATTTTGAGAACTACTTACAGAAATTTCATTCAATTTACCGTTTCTTGGAGAAACAATAACTGAGTATTATGCCACTCCAATATGTTGACAGTGGTTAAGACAGAAATTCTTTTCGTCAATGTCAACATAATGGTGGCATAATAATACTCAGTTGTTGTTTTTCCATGAAACGGTAACGATGTACTGTCTTAACCTCAAGGTTTTCTCTCTCTCTCTTGATATTTGTTTTGTGCAGTTTGTGAGGGGTGGATGAGAGTAAAGAAGTTGAAAAAATCTTTTACGGTTAAAAAGTTTGAAACAGTTGAAGAACCAACCGATGTTATCGAAAACCGTTCATTTGGTTCAAGGTTCCTTTTAACTTTTCAAACCGTAGTTTTCGGAATATAAAAACGATGTTTAATTGAATTCAAACTCTCTATTCGATTGAGCCTGGCTTTGGGAATCAGACCATTGGAAATGGTACCGGCCTCTCTTGTAAAGCTATCTAGTTTTCTTGGTGAAGAAATAATGCCATTTTTATCTGTTAGTGGTTCTCAAAATATTATTATAAATATATTGAATAAAGAAAACACAACAGAGATCATAACAAAGAGCGTATGCGACAAAAATTACATCATCATCATCATCATCATCTAAGCGGAGAGATTAGCCAAAAAAGCGATCGAACGCAGATCGATTATCATTAAAATTATTCCGTTTTCGTTTCTTTTACACAATATTTCTTGGTTTTATAAGAATCATGTTCAATAAAAAATGGAAATCTTGAAAAGATACGTTCCTTCTGAACATCAATTTTTAATCGGACATTTACAAAAAGTCTCGTCCTTCTAATCACCCAGACGGAATGAGATGCGGATCGCAATACTAATGCATCGTATCCCAATGGATCGAAGCGATTCGATGTGGTTATTAATGGTACAAGTGATTGTTGTTTATTGCGTGCAATATGTCGTGATGAAGGACAGAATTTTGTCGGTTTTCCTTGCTTTTGTGCACGTCCTTCCGCAGGACGACGAGCATAAGACGGCAGTCTATATGATGAAATGTTTGTGTAACTGTTAAAAGTCGTTGCCGTACCTCTTTGAAATCGATGGTTCGAGTACGGAACATTCAGTTATGGTCGACGTTCTAGACGCTGAAGCGATACTTGTCGTGTCGGTGTTTCTTGTCTATTGGTCGATTTGAGTTTTGGCTGATCTCTAGATGCTTGTTGTCATATCGAGTCGAAATAGATTTGGCTGGACTTTTTTTGCAGACGAGTTGAAGAAAAATTTTTTTTGTAAGTTACTTATAAGCATAAGGACATGACTAATTCGAAAATATCTCTGCTCAGGTCTTTTCCGTTACCGAGATAGGAGGCGTTATCCGTAAAATAACTACCTTTTCTGCCAGTTACCTATAACCATTTTTTATGACGTTTTTATAAAATTACAACTGCCTTTAAGTACAAAGTTACAGCTGCCTAAGTAATCAATTTCACCAAAAAATCTTGCCTTCGGAACGATAAATAAGAGTCAGTTTTTAGGAAATAATGTCTCTTATCTCGGTAACGGAAAAGACCTGAGCAGAGATATTTTCGAATTAGTCATGTCC